TTGAGCCGTGAGCATCATATGGCTCAAACCCCATATAAAAACTCTTTGAATTTATAAAATTTTGGATCAAACATTGCTCACTGGTCACTCTGTAGTAGACGCATTGTTCTCCCAATTTGATATTTGATTAGCTCTTAAATTTGATTAAATGGGTCAAAGTTTTTTTTTTTCCCTGAGAAGTTCACGTTATATGTATATATATGTATATAAAGCGTACAAAATTCTCACAGAGTGTGAGTTTGAGGCAGCCCACGGAGGGAATTGAAAGAGGACCATACACTATGCCTCATTTTTCTCGTGATTCTTCCCCAAATCTTGAAGTGATTGGTTCATTGATTCAAAAAGCGGACCGCCCAGTGCCTAGGCGGTCCAGAAGGCCTGGGCGATGGCAGCCAAACTAGGCGGGTGCCCAAGGCCCGCACCTCGTCCAGGGGCGGAAATGGATTTTTTTTATGGTCCTTTTGGGGTTTTTTTGAAAAAACAATGTTTTTAAAGGTGGGTTTCAGGTTCATTTGAAGCCTAAACCCACAATAACCCATTTTTTAGAGAAAGAAACCTCAAAAAAAACTAGATTTTGTGATTTTCATTAGATCTAAGTATTTCTCAAAGTTACGAGAAATGGATCCAAACATCACCCATCAAGATTAGATTTAGTTTTGGAGTTTTTCTACTCCAATTAGAGGTTGTTTTTTAATATTTTAGCACCAGAAAACATCTCAGAGGTGGAAGTTTGGAGTTCAAGCAATCAAAGTAACTGCAAAACTTCATTTTTTAGATTGCTTGTATTATTTTGAGATGTCTGCTTCAGGATCTAGTCGAAGTGGTAATCCGGGTTGAAAATATGATATAACCCAAATCCAAATGACAAAATTGCATACGATGCAATTATTGTGAAAAGGATACAAAACGGGGACATGAACCGGTTTAAGAAACATCTTTCCGATATTAAGGGGAATGTTGCCCCTTGTAAAAATGTTCCTGAAGCTATCAGAGAGGAGATTAACTAATATATGAGTTCAGTAAAACATAAACAGGAACAAAATCCTTGTCATTTGGATAGTTCTATTTCTGGTTTTGCTAGAAGAAATGACTTGGGTTGGAAGTATCGTCATAACCCGAAACCAAACAATAAAAATTGTACAAGGTATAATTTTTGTGAAAAATATACCAATAGGAGTATTAACCGCTTCAAGAAACACCTTGTCAGTATTAAAGGGAATGTTGCTTCTTGTAAAGAGGTTCTTGAAGCTATTTGGGATGAGATGAGATAATATCTAAATTTAGTAGAACCAAAAAATGATGAAAATGAGTCTTGTTCTATCGAAATATCTTCTTCAGGTTCTTCTAGAAGTGGTGATCCGAGTTGGAAGTATGGTCATAACTCGAATACGAATGACAAAAATCGTATTAATGTAATTATTGTAGAAAAGATACTAATGGGGGTATTTACCGGTTCAAAAAACACCTTACCGGTATTAAAGGGGATGTTGCCCATTGTAAAAATGTTCCTCAGACTACCAAGGAGGAGATTATACAATATTTGAGTTCAAGGAAGCACAAAAAGATAGAAACTGGTAAAGCAGCCAAGACTCCTAAGGCTACATCTGCACAGAGTAAAGAGGGAGGTAAAAGAAGAGGAGGAAGAGGTAGATTCAGAAGAAACAGAGGAGGACGAGCATTATGTTGAAGACGGAGATGATTCTGATGATGATGGCCTTGAATTTGATGCATATGATGAACCTTACCCTCCTTCTGATGATGATGATGATGATGATGACTGAAGAATGAAGAGTTGAAGACGTTTTTGGTGTTGAATATTGAGTCTAAGGCTGTATATTTTT